CTCTCCCGGAGCTCCTCGGTGAACCAAGGAGGCCTCCGGGATCCGCCGCCTCGGAGGGGCCGTAGTGGCGCACTCCGGACGAGAGTCTCCGATGCTGCCGAATGCCAGGCAGCAACCAGAGTCTCTACCGGACTGTGGGCGAGAGTATCAGTATTCGTCCGTTTGTTTGTTTTTCCAAAAAAATGGGCATGCATAGCTTTTAGGAGGCTTATAGAGTGCAAAATTGAGCAAAAAATGGCCTGTTTTTCACTCATTTCTGCCCTCCCCAGTCCCCAGGAGCACTCTGCAAGGCTCCTAAAAGCTATGCATGGCCATTTTGGTGAATAGGGCGGGGTTTCGGGTGGCAAAAAATACTGTATTCAGTGTATAAGACGCACCCAGATTTTCAGCCTCTTTTTGAGGGAAAAAGGTGTGTCTTATACTCCCAAAGGTATGGTAGTCCTGATTTTTTCCCCAGTTTTTGGAGAGTCATCCTAATGATGGACAGAGAGGCAAACAATTTTAAGCTCCACATACTATTTTCATTAAGCAAACATATCTTGGACATTAGAACATTGTACAGATGTCTATGTCATTGTACTAATGTCTATGCTGTAATGCCATCCTTCAACCTTCCCTCTTTAGAGAAAGGTGGTGGAGATGGTGAAATGTCCTTGGGGAAGTGGATTCTCTGAATCCATTCCAATAGGCAGGTTGTAGAGTAGTATGGAGACTACATTAGTCACCGCTGTGGCAGAGCCAGAATGGGTTCGTATGGCCATGCTTGTGTTCCTTGATCTTTCAGTGTCTTTTATTAATATCCACTATGGTGTCCTTTGGTCAGCAGCAAACCTGGGGAGGCACTGTGATGATGTGGTTGGTTCCTTGGTGAATGCTCGTTCTCTTGTGAGATGCTACAGGTTTCTACACTTTCTTACCTTCTGTTCAATATCTATATGGAACTGCTAGATGAAATTAGTCCATTGGTTTGGGGTCAAGTATCAACAGTATAAGAATCAGCTGCTTAGACCCATTGGTACACCTCAACTCCATGCTAGTCAAGTGATGCCATCAAAGTCCTAGCCCAGTGCTGGATTAGTAGGGTGTCTGGATTAGTAGGAACAAATTCAGGCTCATACCTGACAAGTCCATTAACTCTCAGTGGGGCGGCATTTTTCCATTTGAGACTTGCGCACAATATGGGACTCTCAGCTTCTACACAATGAGCAAGTGCTAGCTGTGACCAAGAAAGCATTTGTGTGGCACATTCAGTGCATCAGGTGTGTATTTCCCTGGACTGAAAGGCTCTTCGGATAGTCACTCACGTCCTGATCACATCACAATTGGATTATCGTAATTACTTCTGTATGAGATTACCCTTAAAATCACCTGGAAGCTGCAGCTGAATACAGCAGCACAGGCAGGAGTGGTACATTATGCTCATGTAACCTCTATGAGCTGCACTGGTTGCTGTTTGGCTTCCAAGTGCAATTCAAAATGCTGGTTATTAATTTTAAAGTCCTTCATGGCAGGAGGTTATTTCCTGGACTGTTTGTTTCCATGTATTTCTGCTGGGCCTATAGAATTAATCCATAAGGATGTCTTCCAGATCCAATGTCATCTTGTAATTCCTGCCATCTGGAATTATATCTCCCCACAGATTTATGCAGCTCTTACCCTTTTGACATTCTATAAATTATTCAAAACCTGTTTGTTCTCCCAGACTTTGGCTTAGGGGTTTTTGTATCCCTTTCTAGTTAGTTACTTTAGTTTAGTTTCAGTGTTTGTTCTTCTGTTTTAACATCCTTTTTATATATGCTGTCTCCTTTCTTTCTAAGCAGCTCAGAGGTGTTGAGGTGGGCAGCCTTGAAATGTGAATAAATGCATACTGTGTATCTCTTACTTCTCTGTTCTTCCTAGTCCAAAGATGAATATATATATATTCCTTTTGCTTTAAGACAAGTGGGAAAACGAGACAGTTCCCTCCTTCCAGCTATGTCGCTTCAGTGTTTTTCAAATTCTTTGTGCAATTCACTTTATCATATTCTACTTTATAGCCCTGCTGTTTGCCTAAGTACATATCACAATGTTTGAGACGTTTAGTCAAGGACTTGAAGAGATTTGCATGCATTAGAGGTTCTATATGATAGATATGAAAGATAAAAGTACCTTTTACCTTTGAATCTGCTAGGCGTATTTTTGATATGTGAGAGTTGTTTAAAACTTGGCAGCCAGGTCAGTCACTTTGTAAAGGTGCAAAACTGATGTCTCTGAGAGAAAGCCTTGATTTTCAAAGGCCGTGTAAGAAGTTACTCTCCTCTGCTCATGCTGTATTTCATTCCCATGTTAGGTTAACCGTGTTTGAGAAAATGGGCTACGACATGGAGCGCTTTGTTGGTTATGTCAATGAAGGGCTGATCTGTTGCATTTGCCGAGATGTGCTCCAAGACCCTGTGCAAGCTCCTTGCGAACATGCCTTCTGCACTTCCTGCATCCATGGATGGCTCATTCAACACAACAGTTGCCCAGAGGACCGCCAGTTCCTTGATCTGTCTATCCTTCGACCACTTTACAGGTCTGGGACCACTCGCCACAACTCTCACTTCTGATCCGGCCTTAGTCACTATATAGGGCAGGGGTTCAGTTTGTGCCCTTTTCCTATTTGCAGCCACTCCTCATAAAATGGGATTGTGAAAGTGATTTTAAAGCTCACCTTGAAAAGGCTTTGTGAATCTTGAGAAATAGGTTTGGGGGCAGACATTTATAAGCTAGGCTTCAAAATTA